AGAACTGGCTGAGGGTCCCTGAACACCATGCCCATGTGAGAACCACCTGAGGGTCCCAGAACACTATGCCCACATGAGAACTGGCTGAGGGTCCCCAAACACCATGCCCATATGAGAACCACCTGAGGGTCCCCAAACACCATGCCCGTGTGAGAACCACGTGAGAGTTCCCGAACACCATGCCCATGTGAGAACCACCTGAAGGGTCTCCAAACACCATGCCCTGTGAGAACCGCCTGAGGGTCTCCGAACACTGTGCCCACATGACAATCGCCTAAGGGTCCCCAAACACTGTGCCCATGTGAGAACCGCCTGAGGGTGCCAGAACACTATGCCCACATGAGAACTGGCTGAGGGTCCCCGAACACCATGCCCATGTGAGAACCACCTGAGGGTCCCCGAACACCATGCCCGTGTGAGAACCACGTGAGAGTTCCCAAACACCGTGCCCATGTGAGAACCACCTGAAGGGTCTCCATCTCCAAACACCATGCCCTGTGAGAACCGCCTGAGGGTCTCCAAACACTGTGCCCACATGACAACCACCTAAGGGTCCCCAAACACCGTGCCCGTGTGAGAACTGCCTGAGGGTCCCAGAACACTATGCCCACATGAGAACTGGCTGAGGGTCCCCGAACACCATGCCCATGTGAGAACCACATGAGAGTCCCTGAACACCGTGCCCATGTGAGAACCACCTGAAGGGTCCCCAAACACCATGCCCTGTGAGAACTGCCTGAGGGTCCCCGAACACAGTGCCCACATGACAACTGCCTGAGGGTCCCCAAACACCGTGCCCATGTGAGAACCTCCTGAGGGTGCAGCCTCTCCTGTCTCATGCTCATATTGTGGCTCTGTTATTTCCTGGGGACCGCTGCAGACATGGCCTCCTCCTGCAACAAATGCCCAGGGTCGTGAGCAAGGACAGCAGCCCATGAATGGAAACCTGGCACTGGGCCGTCTCTGCTGCAGGACATGCATCCCCCTAGGGGTCCTGGACCCCTGGATCTGGGACTCACAGGCACCCCCACTGGCATAAGCTGTTGCACGGAAGGGATGGTCACCTCCCAATTTTCACACCCACCACTCTCCCACCAGTGCCCACAGGAAGCTACTTACCTGGTGGATGTGCCAGGAATCGGGCGGCCCGTGTCCACCAGCACACACCAGCAGTACCCCGTGGAGGGGTGACACTGCACCGGCTTGTACAGACCACCGTGCGCGCACTCTGGGATCACCACATTGTCGTTCTTAGGCTGCTTGGCCTCTTCCAGGGCTGACTGGTGCTCCTGGTCACACGATGACACTAGAGAGGAGGAGGAAAGGCACCGTGGGAGGGAGGAAGAACACGGCAATGGTGGGGCCAGCACCGGGCCGGGCGGGGTAGCCGAATGGAGCACTCCCGAGAACACAAGCCGCAAAGGGCAGGGCACCCAGGGAGAGGATCTGCAGGTGGGTTGGCACAGTGAGCTGGGCCGGGGGTGGGGCTCAGAAGTCCTGGACGTGCCCCATTTCCTGACTGATCCTCATGCTCACCCTTCACTGAGTGAGGGGTGCGGGCAGCTGGTGCACACTCATGTAACATGGGGTGCAGCTCATGAGGCGAAGCAGGAGGTCAGCTTGGATGCACAATCAACATATGTATCTAACCCCCGCCAGACACCCTACCACCACCAGTCGAAGCAGACCTGGGATGGGCAGAGACCGCCTCTACGCCTACAGCCACAGGCTGGTGAACCTCAGGACACATGCAAGCAGCCCAGGCCATGAGCACAGGTGTGTCCCCCATCACTCTCGTCATTCTGCTGCCCATGGCCCAAGCAAACTATTTGTCATTGTCCACACCCTCCCCAGACAGCTGGAAAATAGCCACTTCCCTACCCTGAACCCCCAAGGTCTGAGCCTGGCTAAACCTAAGATGATCAACCAGCCAGAATGCAAGTAGCTGCCAATGCTGCATAGGAACAGCCCGAGGCTTCATGGGATTTGGTTCCTTAGTTTGGAGATTTAGAGTCACAGCTTCACGAGAGCCCCAGTTAATGGAGTTGAACACTCAGTTACGTTATAATGCGGGAGAATGTGTTTAGTGCCTCTGTTCTTGTCACTGGTGTCTGGGGTCTTCAAACTTGCAAGCGGCCATCCAAGGCATAGCAACTGGTCCCTATTCACCTGGGGCAACAGAGGAAGGAGTCAGGAACAGGAGGGAGATATGGAACGGGTTGCTAACTGCCTCAATGAACAGATGCCTCCTTTACCATGAGACCAGAACTAGATGGCACCTGGCTACCATCACTGAACATGTGGATCAAAGATTCCACAGAAGAGTCCTGATCAAAGGGGGAACATGCAGGACAGAATCTCAGACTCTCACTGACTCTAGACTTTCTGGAGCCATGCGGGGTGACTGAGCCCAAGACTACTGCCCTGAGACCCTCATTAACCCTTTCACCAGGAACACTCCTGAAGTCTTCCAACATCTCTACTGTCATCAGTGCAAGGGAGACAACCATTTTGTACTTCTTTTAATTTTGTCATTAAGTTAATTTAAGACGATGTTAAACTAAAAGTGGTAGAAACCCCATGAGCCTGCCTTTTGTTGCAGCATATTGGAATCAGTTTGAGGAAGATCATAAGCATAACACTATGTGGCCTGAGGCAGCAAGGATGCACAAAGACAGACCACAGTCACAGGTGAGAATGTCAGATAAACTCTAGAAATGACTATGGAAAAGATGTGATGTTAATGATAACCCGTTAACCCACAGGAAGGTCAGCATGCTCGTACTGAGGGGAATTGCCCCACAGGGTTTCCAGGGCTGTCAGTCTTCATGGAAGCTTCCTGCAGGGAACTCCTACACCCTGAAGAAATGCAGTCCTACTGTCATTAGTAAGGACCCCATTCAAGTCAAAAGACTTTCTGTAGACAGGCTAGTGATGTCCTCAGGAGTAAAGGCCACAAAGACCAGTGCGTGGGTCACAAAGGCAGTCGCCAGCACTCGTCTCATGAAGGACCAGCAGGGAAAGGGGCCCCCACTACTGCATGAGAACGCAGTCAGGCCCCGTGAAGATGACAAACGAGGAGACGGTGCTCACCTACGGCCCTGTGAGGAACAAGATTGTCCCTGACTCTAGGAAGACCTTCATCTTACCTGTTATGGGCAGAATTGTTTCCCCAAAAAATACGTTTGGAAGTATAGCCCTGTACACGTAGGCATAATCCCAAGTGAGAGCAGGGTTTTCTCTGTTATGTTAATGAGATTCCTATCAGGTTAAGGTGTGTCCTAAGCCAATCATTTTTTAGAAAGAAAGGAGCTGTTTAGGCCCAGGAGACTAACCTGAGCGGTTCACCATCAGTATCCAGTTCTTGAACGACTGGCTCAATGTGCTTGAGAAGATGACCTCTCACAGGTTCAATATTCTCCTCCCTCTGTCCCACCTCCCTCCCAGGATCACAGTGTGATTATGGGTGACAACATACACATGTCACAGGGCTCTGCACAAATTCAAAGGAGCAAACAAACTCCCCGAGGAAACGGAAAGTGTGTGGATGAGCCCAGGAGCCCTGGCAAAGTGACAGATAACTGAGAGTGGAGCATGGAGAAACCAGAATCAGGCAGAAGTGACTGGAATCTCAGATGGTAACTAAAAGGTCACCAGTGCAAACCTACTTGTCACTCTGCGGGAGAATGATTAAGGCAGCTGCTTCTGTAAAGACTGACAGCCTTGGAAACGCTGTGGTGGAGTTCCACTCTGTCCTAAAGGTCACTAGGAGTCAGAATCCACTCACTGGAAGTTTTTCTTTTCTTTTTGCCCCTACAAAAATATCTTTATAAAAATAAAGACCTGTTATGTGACTATATAGCCTAAAAATCATACAAGTCAACTGAATTTAGAGTCATGTTCGTATTCTATATTTCAATGAAAACATATTGAGCAGAGTCACCAGTGGGTTACCCTTCAAGAGTTTAACACGGACTGCTAGCCCTGGACACAATGTACCTGACCCACAAACATAAAGAAGCTCTTAGAGTCGGGAAAGCCTGAACACTATGGATCGAAACTCCAAGAACACAAAACCTTCCAGAGAATTAGCTGTGGAACAACATGCAGTCCAGTCATCACCATCCTGTTAAAGGTTTAATACACTTCTCTGTTGGTTCCAAATACCAAGAGGTGAATCAGTAAAACTGTAGCAAGAGCAGCAACAGTCAGACATCATAAACTCATAGCTCAAGTGAGAACACAGCAAATACATAGAACAGAAAGCTGTTCTTCTCTAAGGACTGCTGAGGCATGTTGGGGTGACTACTGTGTGTGCATGTTTGTGTGTGTATGCCATGTATGTGTACGTACATATACATATACAAAGAGGCCCTGGTAGCACACACATTTAAGTGCTTGGCTTCTAGTCAAATGGTTGGTGGTGTGAACCCAACCAGAGGCAGCTCTGAAGAAAGACACGGCCTCTGCCTCCTGAGGGTCACAGCCCCGGAAACCCTATGCAGCAGCTGTAGTCGGCACATATGCGGGTCTCCATGAATGGGAATCAACTTGGTGATAACATACACATGTTGAAAGGCTCCACAGACAACTCTTAATTATCATACAGATTACGTATCTTAATTCTGATGTTCCACTTCAGTTCTTGTCATTGACTCGGGGTCCTCGCACAGAGAACCTCCATGATCCAGGGGAAGACTGACGCCATGACAGAGACACAGGAAAACCACCCAAGAAAATTCAATGCCCATCAGTGGCAACCTCTCCTATCTGATGAAGAGCCTAAGAGAAAACCCTCTGTCATGCTGCACTGAGTGATGGAAACAGCATGACTTCACCTACATAGTGGGAGGAACCTCACCACTTGTACTCATCACAGTGCTGAGGGTCCTAGGCAATACAACAAGGGTAGTAAAAGCATAAAGATTTCAAAGAAAGATGGAGTCTGTCTTCAGTCACACAGGATTATGTACGTAACAAACCACAATGTGTCCACAAACAAACACACTGCTGACGTTCGTGAGTGAATGTAGGAAGGACCCCAAATGCAAGTTTGGTACTCAGAAACTACCTTCACATCTGTACACAGTAACGGATGACTGGAAAACAGCTTGAAAAGCTATTTGCAATAATAAGAAAACACAAATATTCAGGAATACGTTTTTAAAAAGATGAGAAAGACTTTGAAAACTTTAAGAAATTGCTAAATTTTTTCAGACTGAGTAAATGAAGAGGCATACCATATTAATGGAGTTGAACACTCAGTTACGTTATAATGTTAATTTCACCAAAAACTGAACTGTAGAGTCAACACATGCATCTGAAGATTCAGTAATGTTATAATGAATTCACCAAACACTGAACCGTAGAGTCAACATAGTTCCTATCAACATAGTTCCTTATTTAGCATTTTTACAGAAAGTGTGTTTGGGCTATTCAGTGTATGCAGAGAGGATCTAGACTATCCAAGCACTCTTCCAGAAGACCAAAGCTGGAGGACTAGTGTCACTGTATTTCGAACATTATTTTAAAGCTACAGTGATCTAGACAGTCATTTACTGGAGTAACGATAGCTAACTGGATTAAGATAAAAGTACACAGAGTTCATGCACAGAATTCAAAGTATACGTTTTAATGGTATTTGACAGGCACCAAAGCAACTCAATAGGGAAAGGAAAGCATTTCAACAAATGTTTCTAGAACAATAGAGCATCTGTATGTCAATAAAAAACAATACAACCTAGCTCATGCTGTTCACAACCATTTACTTGAGAAGAATACAAGCTCTCAGCATAAGCCTTCTAAAGAAACTACAGGAGCTACAGGAGGTCTCTGTGGGGGGGGGGCACTCAGAAATTCCCGAGGCAGAGGCGGGAGCACCAATCACAAAGGAATCAGTGGGTAAATTAGACACCATCAAAATTAAAAACACACACTCAACCAAAGAGGCCACTAAGACAGTGAAAACACAAAGCACTGACCGGAGGAAACGCTCCAAATTCATGTATCTGACAAGGAGATGGATTACATAAAAAACTCCTATCAAGGTTGAAAATAGGAAGGAACCTAACTTCAATTAGGCAATTTCACTTCAAAATGAAAACAAACAAGATGAGCAGACACTTCAAAATGAAAAACATGGAATAGTAAGCATGTGGGAAAAACTGCTCAATGTTGTTGTAGCTGTTAGGCTCCAACTCATGGCGGTCCCGGGTACAACAGAAGAAACGCTGCCGGGTCCTGAGGCATTCTCACCTGTATATTATATGCACATTGTTGTTAGGTGCAATTGAATTGGCTCTGATT